CTCCGCTTTCAGAATGCAGTTAACATCTATAAAACCCTGAGTGACAAAGTGATGCCTCAGCCTCTCGTCATGTACTTCACCATCTGTATCCTGCACATGGTGGAGCAGCTGCATGACATCCACATCATTCACGCCGACATCAAACCTGACAACTTCATGCTAGGAGAAAGGTGACGATCAATAACCACTATTCTACCATTTAAACCAGTCTGATTTTCACAGAAGAGCTGTACAGCTCAGTAACAGCAGGACAGGAAGCAGCAGGTTTGGGTCATCGTTGTCATCATTACTACTGCCGTTGTGTTTCAGGTTCTTGGAGAACAAGTGTTTTGAGTCAGAGAACGTGGACCACGGCCTCGTCCTCATCGATCTCGGGCAGAGCATCAACATGGAGCTTTTCCCAGAGGGCACTGCTTTCACCGCCAGGTGTAGGACGTCGGGCTTCCAGTGCACTGAGATGCTCAGTGGGAAACCCTGGAACTATCAGGTGAGGACATACAGGATCTATTCCTGTAACTAAACTGCAGAATTATTTGTTCACTTAAAACAAGTGTTTTCTTTAGTAACATTTTATATTGATACATTATATATCGATTTTATATTGATAGACTTTAAGCAGGTTTCTTTAAAGGTCTAACTTTATCTTTTGTTCTGTATTTTTCCCACATGTGTGTGTGCTTTTAGACTGATTACTTTGGAATAGCAGGGACCGTCTACTGCATGCTGTTTGGGACGTACATGCAGGTCACAAATGAAGGCGGTGTGTGGAAGACAAACGGTGTATTCAGAAGGTAATTCCTCCAAATGGCATTTCATGTCCCCAGTCCAGATTGTATGGTTTCTTTATGGCAGAGCATTTACATATTGATTGAAGATGAAATAAAAACAACTACTCCATGGAGAGGAAGGAACTGTAAATAATCTGAGTAGCAGGTTGCAGAAAAAAATGCCAATCATAAACTGTATCAAAAACAGGGTTTGATTTAATGAAAATCTTAAGGAATGTAACTATGAAGTTTCAGAAGGAAACTTTTCTAGGGAAATAACTTTATGTCATATTCACTGAAACTTTCAATATATCCTGAAAATAACACACCAGACAGATATTCTGTGAAAAATCAGGTTCCTCTTGCACCTCCTAGTGCTCCTAATGGAAAGATTTTTGTCAGCGTTCTTCCTCTGTTTTCTTTTCTTTCTTTTTTTTTTTTTTTTTTGCCACATATGTTGGTTTCGGCAAAGGGGGGGATGGGCTGGGTTGTTTTGTTTTTTTTTGTTTGTTTGTTTGTTTTTTGCTGGTGGTTGTTTCTCAACTATTGCGTTTGCAAAGCCCCTCCTAAAGCCAGGCACTGAAGACATTGAGCTTGACAGACCAATGATTAACACCACGTTTAAGCCCCATTTCCACCAAACATTTTCGGTATGGTACCTTTTGGAACCAAAAGTAACCTTTCAGACATGGTACCTAGACCCTAGCGTTTCCACCGCAAACAGTACTCTTAACTATGGGCGGGGTTGTTGCCACTCACTGTTCCGTCCAGCACTCACTGTATTTCCTCATCACCCGTGACACAGATGGAAGTCTGCGCCTAGATTATCGTCCACAGAACAAGGCTGCACGCCGACATTTTCAGAACAAAATAAAACAGGCTGCAGTGAGAGTCTCCCTCCATTCGATATTCAAAAATAGCAGGTTTTTACATTCATTTCTTCTCAGGTAAGCTCAGGGGTTTAGTGTTGCCGGAGCCCACAGGAATGCACCGCGACGCTAGTATATGCAGTTCACATAATGCAGTCAAAATTATTATACATAAACACTTGAAGTTGTTTTTGTTAAGATATGGTGGATTCTTGCAAATGCCATTAGGAGCACGAGGAGGAGCCAAAGGAAAATTATGTTTTTATATAATATCTGTCTCATGTATGACTGTTAGGGTGTACTGACAGTCTCAGCACATATGACAAAAAGTTATGTTTATTAGAAGAAGAAAAAAATCCTGATTTTGGTATAAAATTGATTTATCTTAAATCCTGGTTTGAGAGATTAATCACAGTGAAGTGGAATAAATAATCATAATAGCATCATGGAGCTTTAAGTTGTATCTCCAGTGTGTTAACACAACGTACTAAGATTTTCTCTCTGTGTCTGCTCCACAGGAACCCCCACAGCGACCTGTGGCAGGAGTTCTTCCACACTCTGCTGAACGTGCCGGACTGCAGCTCCCTGCCGAGCCTCCGGAGCCTCCGCTGCAAGCTAACATCGGCCCTGCAGCAGAACTACAGCAGCAAACTGCCCACTCTCAAGAGCCGCTTGGTGGTGCTGTTGCTGGAGAGCAGAAAGGCAGCTCGGAGATGACGACGACGCCCGAGAGCCTGAGGCAGATCTGCTTTCCTTCACCTCGCAGTTAAATTAAACATTTTAAAGATGTGGTTAAACATCACTGGAGGAGGATTTGATCATCTGGTCAGAATTTTGTACATATAAAAAAAAGTAAATATATTTTAGTTGCTTTTTCATTGGTTTGATTTATCTGCTTTCAAATTGATTTACTTTTGACCATTTGGAGAATAAAGTGTGTGTAAAAGTAGATGAGATGGTGGAGTGTATTCTGCACGAGTTATTATGTGATTGCACAGGTTTTTCAGATGGAAATTTTTTTTGTTTTGCTGTTTACTTGTTATTTTTTTATTCGACTTTATTTGTTTGAGCCATTCGAGGCCTCCACAACATGCTAATTCTGTTTTTGTCAGATTTTTTTTCTCAGTATTTATCAGTCATTTTGTTCTTTAAACAGGGATGTTATGTGTACACTTTATGTAAAAATGAAACTGAGCAGATGATTTTGGGTTTTGTTTTGTCTCTTTCACTAAAGTGGTCTGCACAGTGTCACTTTTGACACAACCATCAGATGGCATTAAAGTCATACATTTTTAAATCCTGCACCCAGGAGCTTTAAAGCTGCACTAATCAATATATTTCTTCTCTACACTGGATCAAATGATTGTGCGTCATGTGAACAGAGGTGTTCTCATCACCAACTCTGCAGCTCTCCGGAGCCATTTTGCCTAATTTCATCCCTAGTTTAGGTTTTTGTCACAATTCCTGGTTCAGTTTCAGTGGAGAGAGACTCATTACTACTTGGATCACGTTTTTTTTTATCCAGTTTTCTCTAAGTACATGTTTATCATGTTTCATACCTCCCATACCTGTGCAATATGTATTTACTGTAATCACTAGGAGGGTATGAGGGGGATTAGTTGGTTTAAAATCAGATCCAGAATCAGGGTGTGTTAATGAGAGTCTGAAGCCTCAGTTCAACTCATCCTCCCTCACCTCATATGTCTGTTACCTGTTCAGACCTGCAGCTCAGCTCACTGCATATTTCTGCCTGAATGTTTTCAAGATTCTCCAAAGTCCCCCCTCAGGGATCTGGGAGTCAGCTCATCTTAAAATTCACATAATGTTGAAAAACAAGGTGATGTATAAAACACAACATGTCATTATCTTTATCTTCTTAGACATTAAAAAAAAACATTAATTGACACTAAAGATGCCTCTCAGACACCCTTTAAGTTTTAGTGCTTTTATTTTACAACACTTCCTAACTTTGCTTGAACCAAAACAAAGGGAAAAGAAAATCACCTTAATAATGAGATTCGTTTATGCTCTGTGGAGGAGGTAAAATGTCAAGTTGATGTGAAGCTGATAGCAGAACAAAGTCTTGAGTGGAACTTCAGCAATCATCACTGCTCGGTTGCTTTTCTCGCGAAAGCTGTGGGTGTTGCTTTCCCACTGGTTGAGTCAGGACGTGAAGGCACCGGCGCACTGTGACCACTCCCCATCAGCAGAGACACCTGGCTGTCACCATGCTGCCTTCCTGTTCTGTCGGAAATGTCTAAATTTTGAAAGTCTGACATCCCTGCAATATCTGAGACGTTACTATCAGAGAAGAAATTAAAAGTACAACAATATCACAACAGCAGATGATGCATGAACGTGTTAAAAAGTTAATGAAACATTAAAGGTTCAATTTCCTCAAAGCTCTGCTGATGTTTTGAAACTAAAGCACCGAATATGTTTAAAACGTTTCAAAAGTATTACTCCTGCATTATATTACTGCCAATAATCATAATTAAAAAATTGCCAAGTTTATCTTTAGAATGAGGAAATGTTCTTTCTTTAATTACTTTGTCATGTTATTCTCTTTGTTATTACTACATAAAAAAAACTGCAATTTAAGCATGAAACCTTTCATGATATGGCAGTTACAGCCAAAACCTGTGATTGAACGGAAACTTTGTAGTGAACATCTCTTCTTATATCTTGTGAAACTGGTTAAACCGATTCAGATAATGTGAGACTTTCATTAGGGAGAGTGTCTTTAATGAGGTTTGAAACGTAGTTGTTATAGCAACAGAACAGATACTATGGTAATAGCATTAGAAGTAATAGTACAAGTAATAATAGCAGCAATAACAGAAGTAAGTAAAGTTTATTTCCATACGATCTTTCCAAACCAGTGCAAGTGCAGATAAAAATGCTCACAAACTATTGGAACAATAATCTATAAAAATGCCAACAATCTGAGACTTAAAAGTGATTTTAAAAAATCTGAGTATGTGAAACAAATGAACAGCCAATGTGATGCAGCCAGAATGTTCTCTGTGTTTAGTGTGTGGTGACATATGTGAATGATTTGCTCAACTATGCTGTTGGGAAACCCAAACTCTCTACACGTATAGACAAGGGGAGTAATTTCCATTCCACGTGTAATCAGCCTCAAATGTTTTCTTTAAAAAAAAAAAGCCCTAGATCTTTCAGGTTTTTGAAGTAACTTAAACTTTGTGGGCTTTAGGCTTTACAGAGTGATGGTTGTGCAAATGACGTACAGATTTTTAGGAATTCTATGTCTCAAACAGCCTGAAAAATAATGCATATACCTGCTGTAAACATCAGCAAAGCATCTCAGAAGCACCATTTTATCAGCAGCCCTTGAAGGCAGCACTGCATAGAAGGAGAACTTGTTCTGTTCACTCAGTGTGATCTGAGAGCCATGGAGTACAAAGGGGGACTGTCGGACGAGGCTGTGTCTAATGCCTGCAAAGAGGGAGATCCCATGACTAAGGTGAGTGTTTGGTTTTTTTAATATTTATTTTAGTGGTAATGGATTTCATTAATTTTGTTTCACGGCTCTGGCAGGGGACACAGACTGTGGGGTGACTGTAATCCAGTCGAACCTGTTGGCAGCAATTTGTCTGAGCCTTCAGCCCTGCAGATGCCTGCAGGCCACACTGACAGTTCACACACTTTAACATTTTATACAGGAGCGTCTGCTGAGCTGCTGAAAGCTCCATTTCAAGAGGTTTCATGTGTTATGATAGATTCAGACCAGGGTTTATACTCACATAAGAGTCACAGCTATACAGCACATTAATGCTGCCACTGATTTTTCAAGGGCCATTTCACCTCAATTACATTAAACACTTAGTCACTTCTGGTGTTATCTAGTCATGCAGAGAGTTTCGGCTTCATGTGCCAACATTTTGAAAATATCCACCTATTAGGTTTTTGTTTCCATCCCAGGACAATGGTAGTGAAACTCAACAACTTGTCTTTCCAAAAGCAGGTAACTCTTTATAACCCACAGAACAGTAGGAAGTAGATCACAGTGAAATTTTAGATGATCCAGAGTAACACAGACACCTTTTCTTTCAAGAGCTGCTGCTGATGGAAATCTCTCCAACTATTCAAAGCTACAGTTAGTAACTTCCATAAAAATAACTATTTGCTAAAACTGTCACTATATTCAGACAGCACTAAGTGAGACAGATAATCTATGACAATATCACACCCATCTGCCTATTCTATAGTCTGGTAATGGCCTTGAGAAAGTTTGTGACCCGACTGCCATGCTGGACACAGATAAATGGAGTACCAATCACCGCCCATCGCCCAGACCATCTTTCTCATTTAACAGCTAAACAGTACACTAAAATATGTTTCTGAAAACATTTGAGACAAGAAATAGACAGTGCAGTAACAAAATCTTGATTCATACTTGATTGGCGCTGCCTAGTTTGACACTGCATGGTTAGAGACTATTAATGACCACGCTGGTTTGATTCTAGCAAATGCCATTTGAGGCAGTAGAAAAGGAGCTTTATAGGTATTGTTGTGTAGGATGTGGATTTAGTGGCATCCCAGGCCTGGTTGGCTAGCAATCTGTCTAAACTGGGAGGGGGACCGGACCAGGGGTGTAGTGCCGCTGGAGCATGCCAAAGCGCACCAGAACGATGCTCCTCCACTTTTTTTCTTGGTTTTTTTTTTTTTTTTACAAGTGAAGAATTAGAATATTCCCACTTTGCACAATCCGGTACATAAACACGTGACTCTACACCCTTAGACCAGGCGCATCTGCCAGAACAAATAAAACATAAGGTCGCAGATTCGTCTGGTCCCCAGGCTGCCGAGCATCAAACAAGCTCAGATAAAGTCCACGACACAGTCAGAGACTAGCTGCGGAACATTTAGCAGCTCTTAGCAGATCTTTCTCTCAGGGGTTGGTGGAGACCAAACCAAAGCTAATAGGAGTCACATTGGACTTGAAAAACTTGTCTCTGCAGGACTACATGATGCAGCAGACGATGCTGAGAGTCAAAAATCCAGCAAAATCTCTGGACTTCTACACCCGAATCCTGGGCATGACGTGAGTCCTCAGTCTGATCCTGAACCTTTCCGAGCAAATCTCATTCCAACACCTCAACTTTTTTCTTTTCTGTGGTGCTCACTGGAGTTATCATCAGTCCAAGCATTTTTATTCTGCTCTGTTCAGCCTTTAAACCATTAACCACTGAGCTCCTCTGTGGTTTCCAGCTTGCTCCAGAAAATCGACTTCCCCTCAATGCGTTTCACCCTCTACTTCCTGGGATACGAGGACAAAGCAGATATCCCGGCTGACATCAAAGAGAGGACGGCGTGGACTTTCTCTCGCCGAGCCACCATAGAGCTCACACAGTACGTATGATGACACCAAACACACCCTGAAGCACCAGATGACACTGTGTGTACTTTTGGCCTGGGCTCGTCAGTTCCAGTGAAGGTACTGCTACAGCATACAGTGATATGTAGACAACAGTGTTCTTCCGATTTGTGTCAACAGTTTGCGTTCAGCTCCACAGAGAATTGGTTTTCCCAGTTTGGTGCTGAAGAAACTTAGTTTTGTCCCTTTCTTCAGATACACAAAGAACCTAGTTATCATATTCTGGAAAGACTGAAACCAGAAAAGTGGAGGCTATGTAGCAGCACATTAATGCAAGTGATCTCACAAAGAAATGCACATGAAAAGCCTGACTATTTGCACCAGCAATGAATCTGCTTATTTTCTCAATTCATTGATTAGTCGTTTAGTCTGTGAAATGTCATGAAAATATCAGTCACACGTCTTGATTTTCCCGACCAACAGTCCAAAACCAGAATATATTCGGTTTACTGTCACAGAAGAAGAATGAAACCAGCAAATATGTGTGTTGGAGAAGCATTGAGTTTTTTGCTTTGAAGCAACTTGCTCTAATCTAATCTAATAGATTGAGGTGTCCACATACTTTGGGTCAGATGGTTTAAATGTTCTTTGTTGTTCTTTTGTTTTTCAGCTCATCACAAATAAAAATAACGACCTGTTTGTAGGGATGGGTATCAAGAACTGACACTACTGACACTGACATTAGAATCGTATGCCTCCAGGCTTATATATTCCTTTTATCGATGCCGGCATGTGTTTTTTGACAGTTCAAACTCACGCGTCTACGCTGCTTTAAACTTACAAGAAGTAGAGAAAGAAACAGCCCAATGTGTGACAAAAAAGTCGACAACAGCTGCTTTTAATTCCTGTAAATTGATATTTCAAGTGAGGGTGGAAACACTAGCAATATGCTGAAACATCTTTTTACACAACATGGACTTTAATTCGAAGAATGGTATGTAATTGACACTCCACACATGAGTGCCACTGCTTCCAACCGAATCTGTAACCGATGGTAAATATCCTATTATAATACCATTAGCACCACACAGGGTGGCTTGGACTAAAACTACCTAAATGAAAGTGAATGCTGTACAAATATTCTCTCATTTCACCTCAGAGAGAATAAGATAGTTGCGTTGACACTGAAAGCCTGTGTAGGCCTACTTTTTTTCCACACAGAAAATTGATAAGGAATCAACAAAGGGATCGATAAAGAATCGGACCCATATGCAGAATCAATAATGGCACTGGTATCAATAGAATCTTAGCAGCTCCCATCCCGACCTGTTTGTCTGCTGTTTTTTCAAGAGGTATATCTTAAGTTTGTCCTTTGTGTCAGTGTTTTAATGAATCGTATTTCTCTGTCTGTCAGTAACTGGGGTTCAGAGGCAGATGAAAGTCTGTCATACCACAATGGGAACAACGAGCCGAGAGGATTTGGTGAGAATTTGAACTAAGTTTATTTCACTGTTAGTAAACGTAGCTTAAAAGTAACTCTTTTATCATTTTACCACCTTCACTTACTTTTATCTGACTATATTTACATTTTTAATGTCACTATTTGTTGTAATTAACTGGTCCAAGCTGACCAATTATTCTAAGGATGAGATCAAAGTGAGGATGGCACCTACACTGTTTTCTTTATGTGTGTGTGTGTGTGTTTTGGGTGTAACCTGCTGTCTTGTTGCAGGTCACATTGGCGTCGCTGTTCCCGATGTTTACGCTGCCTGCAAAGTCTTTGAAGAGCAAGGAGTGACGTTTGTCAAGAAACCAGATTCAGGTGAGTCAGAAATCAGGTCCACACTGTAACTATTGTATATTAGAGATTTAAAAAATCAGACTGTCGCTACACCATATGTTTTATTTGTGTCAACAAACTATTAAATATAATTTTATGAAGTTCTCAGTGATTTCCTGAAACAGCTGGTCACTGTCACTTTTATCAAACAGACAGGAGTAAACAGTGCATTTGTTAGGAACTATTTTCAGCGGCGGATTAATCCACATTTGGTGCTCTACTGAGTTTTTATGGCAGCAGGATGGTGTATGTGGGAATGAGTCAAAATAAACTACAATGTGTATTCATAGTAATAAAGGATCATGTCACCCAGTGCAGCAGTGTGGCTCATAATAGTATGTGGACAACACTGCAGCTCTATGGCACAGAGGAAGAAGATATATCAGGCGTTGATACACAGTACTTGTTAGTGGATACATTTACTGTTGGCTTTGTTTTTTCATGGGATTTGTTGACAAGGAAAATCTAGAATATTACCAAGTGTATTATTTAACTTATCAGTCTAGAAGGTGAGCTCGGACACTTTGGGGACTTGAAAATTACTCACTGTCATTTCACATCGACTGATTTTATTGTGAAGAGAGACCTTGATTTATGAGGTAAAATAACCCAAATGACAGACAGTGCTCAACAGTACGGTGGCCAGGAGAGGTCAGTGCTGCTTAGCTTATGAAAATGTTACTACTAAATAAAACACAAGCAAATTAAGAACACGTTTTCCCATTTGACAACACATACACACTGCAAATACAGAAGCTCTGCAAGTCCAACACAACACAATGGAAATTTTCAGGGCACACTAAACCCCAACGAATATGACAACCACTTTTTATTTACGTTAATTACTTACTACTCAGTAGCTTTTTGTGTTTCCCAGAAAAATATATTACGTTGTTACTCAGTTGTGTACAATTTGAAGAACATATACACACCCACACACACACGTGATCTATTTGCTTGTGTTTCCTTAAGCTGCAGTGGATTCAGCACCGTCAGCCACCTTATGAGAGTCACAATCAGCAGACAAAACATGCTGAAAACAGTCTGGAAATGGTTTAGATTTTGAAATGCAAATATCTTACTATACCTAAACAAATGTCCCCACAACACCCACATGTTGTTGGTTGATATAAGTTTCCACCAGGAGATGGAGCTCATGTTCAGCTGGATGCCAGCAAGCTGATGGTTTGCTTGTATTAATCACCATGTGGGGACATAAGACTTGTTCAGTCCTGTTATGGGGCCTCACCTCCCAGCACTATGGTCCTCCCACAGGAGGGCTGAACTTAATTTTCAGTTTCGAATCTCAGGAATGAATGTAAGCCAGTGCAGCGTCCCTCTGAGAGACAAAAGTTAGTGTGTGTGTTTGTGTTCACCATTATATTAACTGACACCATTTCCCTTCCTCACAGGTAAAATGAAGGATCTGGCCTTCATTCAGGATCCCGACGGCTACTGGATTGAGATTTTAAGTCCTAACAACATGGTCTCATTAATGGCACCTTAAAGCAGAGAAACACTGGGGGAAACATTCAGGGCATCATGGTGGAGAAAACACTGCTGAAATAAAAGAAGACTTTTGTTTTTTACATGACAAACCTTTGATACACACATAAGCTCTGTCCATTACAAGCGGCAACCTCTGGGGTTGAAACATTAAGCCAACTCGAAGTGCCAAAAACTGCAGTTCCTGTAATGGCCACTTGAGGCTGGCTCCAAAACAGAGTCAGTTCCCTTAGACCACGCATGTTAAAATGTCCAGCATTACAACAGAAATAAACACGTTTACAGCCTGGTGCAAGAAATGGTTTTGGTTTCTGTTGCTTATTTCAACATTCATGACAACTTTTTACATTTTATTAGGACTTAAAGTTATGTGTAATTAAGGGGATGGCCATGCTGAGTGACAGACTATTTGCCATTAGTGTCTTCAGCTTCTCAGTCAGATCCAAACCTCGTTCTTCCACAGCTCCGCCCTCTCGTCTAAATCTGGTCAATTCTGGCTCCAAAAATCCAAGATGGTAACGTCCAAAATGTCAAACTTGAGACGTCTACACGTCATTGTGGCTACGTCTATCATTTTTATTTTCTGTGGTTCTTGCAATCCAGAAACAAAGGATAATAATAATTAAAAAACAGAAATCAACAAGTGGTCTCTGATTTTTTTTTCTTTAAAATCATTTGACAGTTTGTTGCAGAGTTGCTTTTAGCTAAAAGGTGAAATGGTTTATGCTCCACGCTCTGTCACAAACAGAAACATGACATTGTTCTTAACCTATCATCAGCGTGCTAACATGCTCACAATGATAATGCTAACATGTTGTTATTTAGCAGGTATAATGTTACCATGTTCACTATCTAAGCTGTGTCAAAAATCGCGTACTTCTGTACTTACACTTAATATTTTGAGTGCATCGGTGCTTTCACACTGAGAAGTATGGGAAATTGCAGTGCACTATGAGTACCTGGATGGTGCACTCAAAATGGTCAAGAAGTTGAGTGTGGAACTATGGACACTTCTCACCCTCAATGGTCGCCATCTGGGCTACGTAGCAGAAGGGAAGGGACCACTTCTCAAACTGGAAATAGCGGTCGAGGACTGTGTGACTGTGAACGTCGCTGCATTGTACAAATACATGTGTTTTTTGCACTAAGCACCACTATACTGTTGTTGGGTATAAGCCAGCAGTATGTTTGTTGGGTTAATTTAGCAGTCTGTGGGGTGTCAGTGGCTTAGTGGTAGAGCAGGTGCCCCATGTACAAGGCTGTTGCCGCAGCAGCCCGGGTTTGAATCCAGCCTGTGGCCCTTTGCTGCATGTCATCCCCCCTCTCTCTCCCCCCTTCAAGCTTACCTGTCCTGTCCATTAAAGGCAAAAATGGCCAAAAAAATATCTTTAAAAAAATTTTTTGTAATGATTTGGTACTGCGAATGATAACGCAAATGCTGAATTTGTGGTCATCATTTCCCAAAAAGTGCACAACGGCTGTGTTTGGTTTGAGACAACACTACCCTGTCGAAATTCACGCACTATGCCAATAAGTACATAGTGCACATAGTATACTACATGGAAGTGTCCTAATGGAAGTATGTGATTTGAGACACAGCAAAAGCATGTTAGCATGCTAACATTTGCTAGAGGCTAGGCTAAAAGCTTAATGATCAGTAGTAAAAGAAGTACTCAGATCTGTCATGTAAAAGTAAATACCAAAGTTTTAAAATACTCCAGTACAGGTGAAGTCCTGAATTCAAAATTTTACTTATGTAAAAGTATATAAGTACTATTAACAAAATGTACTTTAATTATTAAAAGTAAAAGTACCTGCTATGCACAATGGCTCCTTTCAAAGTGTCATGTTTTCATAGAATAATATATTATGTAGTTTGTCAATGTAGAGCCAGTTTTAGATATTTTGTATACTACTGGGTGGATTAGTAGTAAAGTACTGCATAAATCACTTAAACTGTCAAATGAATGTAACTTAGTATAAAGTACAATATATACCTCTTAGATGTCGAGATGTAAGAGTATATCGGTGTTGGTACTTTTACGAAAGTAAAAAGTCTGAGTACGTCTCACCACTGCACAATACACATGTAATTTTGGTCTGCAAACTGCAGATGGCCTTCTAGAAAACTAGTAAAATGTCAGTAAAATGGCCTGAGTAACCTGTTAAGAAGCCGCAGACTGAACACAACACACTGCAGGCTGCAGGCAGTGTCTGACAGTGTGAACTTCCTGCTATTTTAGTGTCTTTTCATACACTTTCTGTCTTCCGGTTGTTATCTGTCCTCTGTGTGTCTGAATGTGAAGTGCTGACCGACTTATGTCACCCAATTTACTGCCGGTCACTTCAAAGTGGCGTCCAGGTGTGAGAACCGTGTCGGCTGACCGGGGCGGATTTATAGTCCGCAGAGTTGTTCCCAGGCCTGTCAGCCTTTAATCCTGCATTCAGCTGGAAATGATGCCGTTTTCTTCTCTGAGAGGATTTAACGGGTGCAACAGTGATTTCAGTAAATCAACTGCAAGATGAAGGCAAAGCAGGAGTGGATTAACGTGTGTGTGTGTGTGTGTGTGTGTGTGTGTGAGTGTGAGAGTGTGTGTGAGCCACAGTGGTACAGTGTTTGGGGTAGGTTGTAACATTTTCCACATGTTGTTACAGTTAACCCAGACTCTTGTAGCCATGACCTGTCTTACCTTTAAGCTAACAGCTAAAACACTAACAAAAATGAATGAAGTAAAAAATAAAGTCAACTTTAAACTTGGCTGTGTCTGCCAGGTAAATTTGTGAATCCTGGGATAGCGAAAGAATGACCTGCCCTCCTCTCCCTGTGACTGGCTAGTGCTCATTGCTCTCATTGGTTGGATTGTTGAAGTTTAGGCAAGAGGTTTAGGCATTGGTTAGGGTTAGGGTAAGAATCAGGCAGAGTGAGGCGGGCCATTTGTTTGCTTTCTTAAGATTCGCAAATTCTTGTCTGCCACAGGGTGCTACTTCCTCACACAAGGAATGAGGACTAAAATCAGGTAATTTGTAGCGTTTGTTTGACTGGAGAAACTTTGAGTGTTCAGACTATTCTGTGTTAAAACCCGTGTCCCCTAGTTAATTCAGCTGACACTGATACAAATGGCTTGTGCCGAGCAAACACACACCAGCGTTTGTATGGTAAACCACTTGAGTTTGCAAACAGAGAGACAGAATTTGAGCCTTAAGGCTAATCAAAGTCTTGATTGATGACATCAAAAATCATCAGGGACCAGATCCATCATCTATAATAGAACTTTTATACTTCCTGTTCTCTAGAATAACAATGAACATTACTCTGTCATTGCACATAAACCTGTACACTGGTGTTCCCCAACTTAACATCTTTTTCCCTTGAACCTACATGTATGTATCAGTATGTGCCGTATTGATAAACCGTGCAAAAAAAAAGTGTAACACTTAATTTGGAAAGTCTGCCTACAGATAGTTTGCAGAGCATCTGTAACATTTCAGCAGCTTAGTAGTTGAAATTCAACAGTTTTGCTTTATCATATTTGACAAATTATGAATATACTTACATATTCTCATAATAACAGCAGGAAAAGAAGGAAAGTAAAGGTGGCGAAAGTCTGACTAGGGCGGGTGAAACGGTCGTGGATGGGTCCAACAAAGTCCTACTTTCATCCAGGAGAGTGTTGTTCACACCCTGTAAGATTATTAAGTCAAACCCTGCTCTTTTTTTTCCTAAACCCAACCATGTGCGTTAGTTGTTGGAGGAAGAAAACTTCAGTTTGTGTTCTTGTACTGAGTCGTGCGTTTATTTTGAAAGACACAGTATGTAAACGTTAAATTTCCTGTGAAAACGGAGGTGTATTTTGAAAGAGGACAAGACATGTAAAAGGCAGAACCTGACAAGGCGTCTGGCTTTTGTCCAGATTGAGACTTAAAAGCAAAACAAATGATTTAAAATACAACCAGGTTAAATCAGCATATAAACCAAAATGTAAAGTTTATTCAGAAAACATAAAAACATCATAAGAGCTGCATTTTTCATGACAGCAGTGACATAGTTCATTTTTATTGTAAAAAAAAAAGAAGGTAAATCCAGTGACAGTAAACCACAATTAATAAAAGAAAAGTGGGTTTATTATAATTGAATATTGTTCCATTTCAGTCAGTTTGTCAGTTACTGAAGGACACTCAATCACCATCATCATTTTGTTAATCGTCATCCCAGTTTGCACCAGACTGAACAAATATCTGTCTGAGGCTGTACCGGTTTTGGCAGGTCTGCAGTAGCACCATGTCATCCTACTCAAAAAAAAAACAAAAACATGCTTGTTAGTCAATCAAAGTCCAGTGAATTGATAATCTCTCAGGCAGATTTTTTGGTTCTTTCTTTTTGGTCACATGGCTGGCGTTTAAGGTCTGAAGGTTTTAAAGAAAAAGTCTGCCGTTATTCTACTTTTTCTTCCTGTCAAAAAAATACATTTTTTGGTGAGGTCAGTGAGGTCAGTCAAGGTCCAGTCTACAGGGATTTTAGGTTTTAGATTAAGGTTCTTCAAAACAGTTTTGGTTTTTAATTTCAAAGCAACTTTTGTGAGTGAGTGTAACTTTGTTCAAGTGGCAAAAACCTTACGCGAAAACAAAACAGTTCAACTGTAACGCTGTTAAAACAGTTCAGTAACGCTGAATAAAAAGAGAAAAGGCAACAAATTAAAAAGGTAGACCAACTGGTCACTGTGAAATCAGCATTTAGAAAACAGCAAAGAGAACATCTCAGAAGTTAACAAGTTAACAGAGTTAGTGTTTGAGCCGAGTGTTAAAACCAGTCAGTGAAAGTGGGTTCATAACTGTTTTGTTCACCGGTGGTAAAAGAGTTTTCCAGGCTGTTAAAACTGTCAGAGGTTAGTCAGCAACAAAATCGTTCAGTCAAACAGTCAGAAAGCTCCGACCTCAGTTCCCCATGGCCTGTAGGGTTTACTACTGCTGTGAGGAGTCTGGGGGGAGGAGGACGAGGAGGAGGAAGAGGAGGAAGAGATGGAGATGGGAGGGCTAGTGCTGGTGATGGTGGAGGTGAAGGAGGATGGATGGAATATAGGAAAACCTTTGTGGAGGGTGATGGGAAATGGAGTCGAGAGGGAGAGGAGGGAGGTGGAGAGAGGAGTGGGTGCGCAGGGGAGCACAAGAGATGAGGAAGAGGAGGAGGTGTGGGAGTCTGCATGGGAAGAGAAGGAGGAGGCCACACTCTGTTGTGACAGCTCTTCAAGCCTCTGGGGAGCTCCACCTCCTCCAGCATCCTGAGAGACAGACAGCCCAGTCAGTTCGTACGGCGCTGCAGCAGTTGGCAGAGGTCGAAACACAGCCGCAGCTGCAACCGCAGCCGCCCAGTGATGGGGGTGGAGGGGGTGAGGTAAAGGGTGAAGCTGCTGGTGTTGATGTGACGAATGGGAAGTCATGGTGAAGGTGGCGGCGTCACGCTGCGAGGAACAGGAGGTGAGGTGGGAGAGGAGGCGGGAGTGCAAAGGGTCACCAGAGTCCAGGCCCTCCACAGCACTCAGGTAGCGGGAAACCTCCATCACACACTCCCTGAAACCCAGAGACAGGAAGTCCAGGGCGAGAGCGTGGGCGTCAAAATAAACTACAGACAGAGAGAGAAAGATTGTCAAATACTGAATCTTATATCAATATAGTTTCCTTAAAGGGACAGTTCATCTGAAAATCAAAAATACATATTTTTCCTCTTACCTGTAGTGCTGTTTATCAAGCTAGATTGTTTTGGTGTGAGTTGCAGTGTTGGAGATATCTGCTGTAGAGATGTCTGCCTTCTATCTTATATAATGTAACTAGATGGCCCTTGACCTTTGACATAAACATGTCTGGAGGGAATCTTTACTAACATAAACTGAACATGGCCATGAAGGAAAAATGTGCCAGTGAGGTCAAATTATTTCATCTGTTTTCTAAATATTGGTGCAACCATCTGCTTCACTGTGTTAAGAAACTGAAACTGTCATTTCCGTAAAAGTCGTGAAACATTTTCAGAAGGTTTAGCTGTGTTAAAAAAAAAAGATACACATGATTTATTCTCTGCTGTGACTGACTTTCTGTGTTTGTTTTGTCTGATTTTACACACCACTGCTGTTAAACCCAAAGAAACGCTGCAGGGAGGTGGCCCGTGAACACAGCCAACACCCCGATGCCCCCACCCCCAGCTTTATTAAAGCAAACAGCACTCCTCAGGGTCAAGTGGTGCTTTCATCCCTGCAGTGCTTTCCCATGGACTCACCACCTCCCTCTGTCACACACACCACACAGGGTGCTGTTTAAGTGACACATCACATCCACTCACTGATGCTCTGACAAAACTAACTTTACAGACTGAGAGCTGACACAGACGACTGACACGTCGCCTCACATCATCTCTTAAAAGCTGCACTTGAACGCATGTTAAGACCACAGCAGACTGACCAACACAGTACAACTTCCGTGTTGTCAAGTGAATACGTGAGAATAAACAGGACATACTGAAAAAAAGATTAATTCTGGTTACCTTTCCCGCTGGTCGTCTGCAACACCTTCAGATGGTCCACAGTCATCTGGAGAATCTCTGCCTTCTCCAGTTTAGATGAACCCTGACAAAACAAACCAACAGTTAAAGCAAGATGTACTCAAACATGTCCAACCAGGTTCAGCAGCTCTTAATCATGAAAGCAACACCCAACTGAGGAAAAGAACCAAATACTCTTCAACAGTGATGTCAGTTTTATAAGACTTTAATTAATTAATTAACCAAAACAGCAGCTGGATTCACTGATTAACACATCACTGGCCTGAAAGAAGAGCTACTTCCCCAACTTCACATTTGTAGGTTTCATGTATCATATCAACATCTCTAAAGTGACGTAATTCAGATTACATGCACAGCATATGAGTTGAGTTTCTCATCAGGACGAGGAGGGGATGGTAAATGGCATGATACCGAGGTGAGTCGGTTGCCAAGCAGCAGACAACTGCTCGAGAACAAGAGACAACAAAAATGAGTATTTTTTAGCTACACATCAAGACATTTCCAGCTGTTTTTGTGGCCCTAAAACTGGATATTTTAAACAAAATGTCAGACCATTTCTAGTCCCATTTGTGGTCACAAGATCAGGTATTTTTATCTAGACGTCAAGACGTTTCTAGCCCTGTCCGTGATCACAAAATACGTTGGGTTTTTTTTTTAAGATATTTTTTGGGACATTTTGGTCTTTAATTGATAGGACAGACAAGTGTGAAAGGGGGAGAGAGAGAGAGAGGGAGTGACATGCAGCAAAGGGCCACAGGCTGGAGTTGAACCTGGGCTGCTGCAGCAACAGCCTTGTACATGGGGTGCCTGCTCTACCACTAAGCCACCAATTTTTTAACTAGATGTCATGACATTTCTAGCCCTGTTTGTGGTCACAAAACTCGGTATTTTTAACAAGCTGTTGGACATTTTCAACCCTGTTTTTGGTCACAAAACCAAGTATTTTAAGCCAAAACATGACCTTTTCCTAAGCCTAAGTGGTTTTTAACCCAACCACACATTCGCCACAGCATCTTTAAAACATAGAATTGAAAATTGAATCATGGAGAAACATTAAATAGTTCGACTACACTTGAAACTTACAAATTTAAGATATGAAATGTACACATGTAACATATCTGTGGTTTGCAGGGACGTAAAATACCAACATTTATTTGTGCAATTTGGTTGCATAATTAGGAGCAAACGTTTTTTTTCCATTAGTTAATATAATGCATTCTCATAGGTGTACTTAGTTCTCCATTTAGCATTAAATGTTTATTTTGTACGAAGGGAAAATTGACAAATGGGAAAGTTTCTTGTAAAAACCAGGACAGCTCACTACTTTCTTTTCTGACTGGGTGTTAAAGGTCTAAGGTCTCACTGCCTCCCCTGTTGTCCACTCCCCTGTGTGACACCACTTTGAGATACTGACTTAAAGGCATGGTTCTGTTTCGACCCTGTGAGAACCCTGATGAACCTCATGTGGTCCTACAGAAACAAACAGATTGTCACCTGCTTCTCAAACGCTTTGGGGACGAGCCTCCGTAACTCGGACAGACTGTTGTTGATTCTGTCTCTGCGTCTCTTCTCGATAATCTGACAAACAAATGAAAACAGTAAAAACCTCAAATTGTCTCTAAATTGTAAACATTTAAACTTAATCATACAAAAAATAACTTTACCCCTCTGCGCTTTTTCCTCGCCATCACTTGAGTGGTCGTGGTCGGTGATCCACATCTTGTAAAGGACACCTTCATGTGCCTGAGAAGTTAAATAATAAGTGAATCAGTGCATTAAATAACCACATATGACCTCAAACTGAGCAGTAGTGATTTATCAGAGACTGAAATTCAGAAAATGTTTAACTAAAGATTAATTTCCAGTTTTTTTGTTTATTGAGGAGGTTATTCCAGATATCACAAAATGTCAGCGGTGGGATGTAACTTAATTTACTCAAGAGCTGTAATGAAGGACAATTTAGACAAAGGCTACTTGTACTCTTCTTGATTATTTCCATTTATGCTCCTTGATGCTTTTAGAGCCCGGTCTCACTCTGAAGTCATCTGAAATCCGACCCTTGGGCAGGGACTTGTCAGAAACCAAGAAAAAGAGGCGTTCTTTAACATCGGCATGACACGCCATTATAGTTAAATGGCGCCCAGCAGCATCAGAGAGGAGAAACACAGCAGGACAAGGATGAAAGTTAAGGCTGCGAAAGTCCAACTGGGATGGGTGGTGGATGGGTCCAACAAACATGAACTCCCACCAAAGAGAGCGGTGTTCGTGTCCCTTAAGATTTTAAAGCCAAATCCTGTTCCTTTTCCCAAACCTAACCACGTGTTTTTGTTGTTGAAGGAAAAAAAAACGTCAATTCACAGTGTTGTGCTGATGTAGTGCGTTTATTTTGAAAGAGACTGCATGTAAATGGTAAATTTCCTGTGAAAATGGAGGTGTATCTTGAAAGAAGACAATGCATGTAAAAGGCAGAACTTGACCTTGGGTACCTTGCATGTCGTATGTGGACGTGGAAAGTCTATAACCAAATGTCAATATGTGACGAGGTCGGAATGACAATGTGTTGACTTTTACTGCACTACATGTCTGAGTCAAATATTGTACTTTTCTTTACCTCACTACATTAATCTGACAGCTTTAGTCACTTGTAGCATTAAGGAAATATGATCATCTTGGGCAAAGATAATTTCCAGTGCAGCCTGGTTTACAATACAAACTCCACTATAAGATAGGCTACTTCATCAGTATTAGTTCACACCTGTCCGTCTTCATTAATTAGGTAACTTAGAGAATATCGGCTGGAATGTAAAAGGCATGATGCATGATGGCTACTTTTGTTTTTGATACTTAAAGTGCATTTTGTTGATAGTACTTCTGTACCCTTACTTAAGTAACACTTCACTCAAGTAAAGGCAAATGTCTTAAAATATCAGCAGTAAATGTTTCAGTGTCATCTTTTTTTCCTAAGTCTGACATTTTGCAGAGATGAAATGTGGCTCTATTCCCTTCTTCTTGATTAATTTGTTCCTCAAAAAAAAAAATTACACATCCAAGAAGTGGACACAGTGAGCAATTCATACTCTAAGAGAAGAAGAGCATGAAACAAAAATGACCACAGTTTGATTTCCTATGTTCATTACTGCATCACTTTTTCCACACACACACACACACCCACACACGCACACACACACACACACACACACACACACACAAAATTCCATTCTCCCACTTATTCAAGTGCCGATCTCAAATGGTGTAGGTTCCATTTTAAAATATAAAATGGGGGATTTTGGGGTCCTCAACCAGAAAACATAATTTCTAGAAGATTTTTATCAGTTTATATATTTTCTGTATCAATTTATAATGATAATGCACATTTCTTTCTCTAAGTATTATTTTTAGTACGGGACTTTTCCTTGTGATACAGTATTTTCACACTGTGGTATTCTTTAGTAAAAGATCAGAAGGAGGTTGTTGAATGGGATTGTGGGAACTGTAGGACATGTAGCAAGTCAGTAGCCCTTTTTAAACAGGAATTGTGCAATTTTGCAGGAAAGCCCAATCAGTCTTCTTTCAGCATTGGCAGTATAAAAACAAAATCGGGGAGTGTGGCAAAATGCCGCCTACCTACTTTTGTTTATACACAATGTGCCTTTTTCGGGGCAATGGGGGGCATGAACAAGTAACAAAACGTGTAGCTCAGCGTGTGACGTAAACAGTGACATGGGAGGGAAGCCACGGCTAGTCAGTCCTTTGGCGATTCTCTCGTAAGTCGGCCTGTTCTTCACCGTTCCCGTCACCTGACGGTTGATGGCCTCTTTGTTTACGAGGGCAAGGAGGGCGCGCAATTCCTTGTCTCCCCAGTTGCTCATCTTTACAGTGTCTGTCAGGTTTGCGTTGCTGTTTCCTGTTTATCCACCGCCAGTGGGTTGCACGTGCAGCGTCATCAACAGCTCCTCCCACAAGTCATCAACAGCCCCTTCCGTTGCCGAAGGCCGCCTCGGCCTGTTTAAACTAAAAGGGTTCTGCCAATATGACTACCCTACGAGGCGGAAAATCGGGCACCTCGGATCAACTCACCAATCCGGCTCTGTGTGTCTAAACACTCGCAGCTTGCCGGCAAGACGGCCCAACATTCGCAGAAAATCTGGCGGTGTAAAAGGGGCTAATAAGTAAAGTCAAAGCAGGGAAGGCAGGTTGATGGACTGAAATACTTCTTTCCAAAATTACAAATGAACATCACAGACTGATGATATAACAGTTTGTCTCAGGTTGGACTTTACCTTTAAATATTAAAAGCATAAATACAGTAGATATCCCACTGTAATCTGTTTTCTCTACACATTGATTCCACCTGGTCATTTGGGGACTTGTTAAAAACTGAAATCTGAAAGGGACCTTGCAGATTTTACTTCATAAACTGATTTGATTTATATTTTGTTTATTTGTTTGTTTTGTTTTTCATTTATTCAATAATGGCAGTACAGAATATTCAATTAACAGTGAAATGTAATAAACAGTATTATTTGTTTACTGTGTATTCTACAGATACAGAATAATATATAATTTCTTTTTAATTTTGATATTTTTTGACATTACCATTTTTTATATACACTAAAAAGGCCTCAGGCTAAGAGGTTTAAGGATATTTTGAAATGATACCATTAAAAATTTACAAGCCAGACATTTTTTCATAAACTTCACCTCTGAAGTTTAAGAATGTCAATATGGTCGAGCTTTTCCTTCAGCATAACTTACAGTTAATATAAACAAATGTTTTTAGGTGGATTTAAACATTGATAAGCCACTGAAGCTTTTTATTGGAAAATGTGATCAAGAACTGCATTCTCCTCCTGACTCACCCTGGATAAATGCTCTCACTGCCCACATCGATGGTCTCCTCCACATCACTGTCCGCCGAGCTGCTGTCCTCACACGGCCGCTTCATGGTGCATGGATGGTGGTGAGAGCCGTCTGTCTCATGCACATTTATTAAAGCTCAAAATAAAGTTTCTTCACCTCTGAACAAAAAAAAAAGCCCTTTAAATTCCTATAACATATTTAGAGGATTAATGAATATATAAATGCCACTGCAGCTACAGGGACACTGCGGAAATGTTTAAGGACATTACAGAAGTCCTGGAGTGAAATGAAAACGCTATAATCCACCATACAGGCACTGCTGAGGGACACTGATGAGTTATATAGTCTTACAGGAATATTATAGAAGATTTAGAGAGATTTTGGGGTTTTCTTTAATCCAGAGGTTGATGAAGTTGCAGGTTAGTTTGCTTCCCAGAAAGCCACAGAAGTTTCTCCTCTTGCAGAACTGTGAAATGACTGATCCCCCAAAAAATGACTCGTGAAAAAATTCGACATCAGCATGTTTTTTTTTATCTGAAGCTTCCAGGAGTTTTTTCAGCAGTGTGTGTCCTGTGAATAGTCCAGGGCAAGTGGCAAGTGCAGACTGGACTGCTGACCGGTTTGTCCTCCTCCTCCTTCTCCTCCTCTGCTAGAGCTTTCCCACGGAGCTGGGAGCCACACACACACACACACACACACACACACACACACACTTAGTGGACACACAAATTTGAGATGGAAGATTTGTGCAGTCTCGGCAGGGCTGGTCCTCCTCTCCTGATAATACCGCCTGTCTGGTTCAGACGGCGCGTGTGTGTGTGTGTGTGTGTGTGTGTGTGTGTGTGTGTGTGCATGGGAATGAGGCCACATCTGACATTCAATTATATAATGCAACAGGTTTCAGACTGAGACTGCTGCAGTGAAGCTGAACACATCCAGTATGTCAACTCTACACCAATTCTCTTTACTTTAACTTTACAGCTGCTCCTCTGAACCCCCTGAGCTCATCTCACCCCTTCTCCTCACCTTCTCGCACTCTTCAGACTGACAGAACATGAAGATGAAATTGTGAAATAAATATCAGCTTAATGTGTTGTCAGTGCTCTTGCACAATACTGTGATTTAATGTGTTCACAAACTTACTGTAATTGTATAGTTACATTTTTCTTAATTTTGACCAGCAAAAAAATAAAATGCTGCTTACATAATAATACATACCTAATAATGATGGAATAATATAGTGTTACACTGACAGGAGTCATTCTGCTGCCTCGTGAGTACTTATCAGTATGTTTTGCTGCTAATACTTCTTCAGTATTTTGAATGTAAGAACTGCAGTGGATTATCTTTACTGTGAAGTATTGCTACATATACTTAAGTAAAACATTAAAATACTTTCACATCACTGACAGCCTCTAAGCTGGTTCACTATATTGCCACAGATATAAATATCTCAGCAACTATTGGACAGATTAATGAACCTGAATGATTTTGGTGATCCCATGACTTTCCCTCTATCAACATCATGAGGCTGAAACTCCCACTTGTACAACACAGGACTCCTGAAGCCAATGAGTGGAGTGATGCTGTGTTAGCATCCTCACATAGCATCACTGCCACATCACTTCAAGGGATTGTTTGTGTGTCCTGCGTCTAAAGTGACAGAGAGAGACAAATATAGTGTGTGTGTGTGTGTGTGT